TATATATATATATATATATATATATATATATATATATATATATAAAATGCAATATAATAACTTAAATTACTTTTAAAATATATATTATTAATGTCAATGCAAAAATGACTAATTGTACTAAAAAGTTTCATTTTCTTTATGCAAAATATAATTTCATATTTTTCTTTAGATTTTAGGGTGAAAAATAACCAAATTATCTTCATTTCTTCAGAGCATTTTCAAATAATTTCTCCATTAGTCCACTGCCAAGAAAACAGGAGTTGTAGCCACAGAAACTGGGGACAAACCCTCTCTCTAGTGCCTGTGAATTTGTAAATGGCAGTAAAAGAAGTGCTCTTTGTTTTGACCATCTCAAACTCCAGGCATCCTTCTCTGGCTGTTTTAGAAAATGAAACAGGGAGGCTACTGTGTGGCACAATTAAAAAAGAACCAAAGTATCTGACACACCGGCCACAAACGTTCACTTTTTCCTCTAACTGCCCTGGAAGACACTAAAAGGAGGTTCTGTATCTTACATCCGTAGCTACACAAAGGAGGAAAGAGCAGAGACTTAATGACACTTACATCATCAGCTCTTCTGCTCTGGAAATGCTAACAAGTATAGAACACTCAGCATCGATGTGATGTTGCCATGGCAACTGAAGCTAGACTAACGACAGTATGTCTGTAACGGGTGCAGTGGAACATGGATGGGGCAAGTGCGATTATCTCTTGGCCTTGTATTTTGAAGCATCTCTGGGCTCTTTGCTCGGGTTGCTCCAGTCATCCGCTCCTGGGCCTTCTTGATAGTGTCGCCAAGCAGATTTGTTAAAGACGGGCAGACGCTCAAATGATTCACTGGAGAGAGCCTGGTCAGAGAAGATGACAGGGTGGATGTCATTCAAAACCTAGTGGAATGATTATGTAAAGTGCAAATTGAGAGCTGTTTTTACCTTCAAGTAGATGATGGCATCGGTCCCTACACCTTCCATCGAGTACAGTTTCAGGTCCCCTTGAAAGTAGCGGGCGTACAGTCTGGAGATCGGCAAACCATGTCCAAATCCAGCCTATAGACACATGGAGATCAGGTTACAGAGGACGATGCTAGATTTAGAGCTGTTGTCCAAGGTTAAAGTTGGTTGGTTCTTTCCTTTACTCACGTTAATGTCATTCCATTTTAATTCTTTCAATGAATACAAAAAGAGAAGTTAAAAAAATAGGGGGGAAAAAAATAATAATGAAAGTACCATAAATGGGTACATATGACTTTACAGTGCTGTGCTGAACAGTGTTATTTCAGAATTATTTACATACTATTATAGTAATTGAATTAACTTTAAGTTTTAGTAATTTTGTTATGTGCTTTTTTTTTACTTTAATTTATATTTCAGTTTTAGGTTTAGTCATTTTTATTACTTCAACTTATTTTATTTCATTTAGTTGCCACGGCTACCTTTCTTCATTTTAAGTTTAAGCTTTTCATCTAATATTTATATATTTTATTTTAATTAATGAGATGATTTTAATAGCATTTTTAGTTACCAATAGCAACACTGGTTTTGAAATAATATGATGGCTTTGGATAAGGAACAGACCGAAATTTCATCGATTAATTGATGAAAAATGCCAGGTTTGATGTCAATAATGAAGTGTCACATTATATAATTGCCACATATATGCATTATGTATAATGCAATAATGCAATGCAATATAATAAATTACTTTATAGAAACATTACATTACTAAATTAATGCCTCTTCAAAATACTACTAATTGCACTACAAAGCTTCATTTTCTTTATGCAAAATACAATTTCATATTTTTTATTTTTATTTTGGGAACAAAAATAACTATAACATTCTTGACAAGTTTCATTAAATTTTGAGTTTCACTAAAATATTTTAGTATAATAGCAAATAACTTAAATTTGGGTCTGTTTGGCTTCAGAAGACTGGAAAGTGATTTTAAATACATGTTTTTTGTCATACTGGCAGTTTGTAGCCACATGAGGGTGACTAAGTGATGACAGGATTAAGTTTAAGAATATTGTAGCCACACTTCTTTACCAGTGGCACTCGTTTCGAGTCCAGACTGGGTGTTGGTGCAGTCGAGTAGGTGTAGTTGAACAGCCTGTCAATCTTCCGTAAAGCCACACCCCCTCCCCTGTCACTGATCTATGATGAAAAACACAGGAAGATTGGGATCAAGGCATGCCATGTGTACATGTTTGCAAAGAAACACGATTTTCAAATAAACTGACCTTCACAGAGAGATCTTCCTTCCCCAGGGTCACTTTTGCTTTTATAAGAGGAAGACCCTCCTTACTACACTCGTGGAGCTCATTAGTGGCCCGCATTGCATTCTGAAAACACAAACACAAGCGGTTACAGCAGTACGTCAGGGCCTTGGGAAAAACACAAAAGATAAGGGCTTCTAAATATTGAATTGCATAACACATGCCGGTACTTTGATATATCAAATTCAATATGTATCTGTAAGTTTTAGAAACATACCTTAAACAGTTCAAACAGCATGTGGAACAGGTGTGAGGGAACATACACAGCCTGGATGGGTTTTTGTGAAGCCTTTGCTACATAAAAAAAATAACATATTTATACTATTTTGCAGCTCGAGAAGTTTTACATTAATTAGACATAAATGAACTCTGAAACAAACATATACTGAGTTTTGTGAGAGAATAAGGACATAAGTACCATTGAATTCCTCTATCTTGAGTTCAGGGGCAGATGAATAATATTGCTCACACACCATCTTGGCGGTCTCGTATGCATCTGAAAACAACATCAAGCTGAATCAGTGGAGCTTAAAATCCAAACAAAAGATAAGGATGGTTTTCCTACACTGCCATTCAAAAGTTTGGGGTTGTAGGACTTTTTTGAAAGTAGTCTCTTATGCTCACAAAGGCTGCATTTATTTAATCAAAATACAATAAAAACAGTAATATTATGAAATCTTATTACAATTTAAAATAACTGGTTTCTATATGAATATATTTTAAAATGTAATTTATTCCTGTGATGGCAAAACTTAATTTTCAGCATCATTACTCCAGTCTTCAGTGTCACGTGATCCTTCAGAAATCACTCTAATATGTTGATTTACTGCTCAAGAAACATTGTTGCTTCATATTTTTATTATACATTTTTCAATATTCTTTGATAAATATACAAGTTCAAAACAGGAGCATTTATTTAAAATATAAATCTTTTTAAACATTATAAATGTCTTTCCTGTCACTTTGGATAATTTTTTTTATTTTTCTTAAATAAATAAATACAAATAAAATAAAATAAAAAATATTACAGACCCCAAACTTTTCTATGGTAGTGTATGTGACAGAACAAAAAATAAAAACTCTGAACTTACCAGTCACCACCTCAGCAACACTGCAGTTGGGATCAATACTGCCAATGTGTTTTGGATGGGCTGGGTTGATGTCATTGCCAAAAAGGAGAGCTGTAATAAAGAGGAAAGGTAATTATTTTAAAACTCAATGAAAAGCTATGAACCAGTAAGTGGTGTTTTTTTAGCGTGGCGTACTGTGCTGGTTGATGAGCATGCGAAAGGAGATTCGGTTGGTGTAGAAGCGGTCCAAAAAGTACTGGATGTTGGAGCTGACGAACGGATCGAAACCAAACTTCTCTTTATATTCGATCACACCCTGGGCCATAGTTGGGACCACATCATTGTGTCTATTCCTGATCTCAATAAGAGTCTCCAGAAAGCTAGAAAAACGTTGAAAGATAAAAAATTAAAAAAAGTTAATTAAACAAATTTTGTAGATCTTAAGGAGATAAATATAAACAACAGGTTTTTAAATAAATATTACAATACTGAAATTCTATCTGAGATTGATAAGCTGATAATTATCTTCATATTATGGTCAATAATAAACTTTTATATTATTACATTTTTGAATGCTAAAAGTGAATTTAGAATCACAACATTAGAATTTACAGTAGCCTATATGAAAAATGGATATTTATTGAGATTTGCTAAAGATTACATTTAAAGGGGTCATATGATGCGATTTCAATTTTTCCTTTCTCTTTGGAGTTACAAGCTCTTGGTGCATAAAGAAGATCTGTAAAGTTGCAAAGACTAAAGTCTCAAATCCAAAGAGATATTCTTTATAAAAGTTAAGACTTGTCCACGCCCTCCCAAAACGGCTCATTCTAACACGCCCAAACATACCTGCTACGTCGCTCTGTGGGAAGATTTGCATAACGCCGCCCAAATGTTCACGCAAAGAAAGGCGTAACTTTTATTCTCGCTGTGAGGAAATACATCAACTTCGCGCTGTGGATCGCCGGATCGGCTTTCACCATGGACGAAGCGGAGTCCAGCCCGGTCACATGTGGTTGCCACAAGCCCGCCGGCCGCACCGTTTTTAAGCCCGCTCACTCAAGCCGGCCTGTATAATTTTGGCGCATCAGGGAGCCGCTCTCAGTATGCGGAGTACTTAAATATTTTTGAATGAGCGTTTGCACTGTTTATTTTCACTTTCGATTTCGCGATCACACGCACTCTGTGTAAAGGGTGCACATCTTACAAGATCAGATTTTTGTCAATGAACTCAGGATGTGTGGAGCAGCAAATACTCCAGCATGGTCTTGTCAGTCATCTCTCCTTATTCTCGACCTGTGATCAGTCAAAGCTGACTCCGGTAG